ACTTGCCACAAAAAAAAAAACATACATTACAACGTTGATCCATCCCTTGCTTGCCCTGTTTTCTCCAAGACGTAATCATACCTTCCAATAAGACTATAAACAAGTGAAATAATAAGTTCGGTGCTAGCCATGGAAATGATCAAAATAAATCCTATAGTTGCATACAAAACTTTAAGCACATCGGCCCTTCACCAAATTTTGAATATTGGCCCACATAAAATTTAAGAGGTGCTTCTGGCTATACATCCTCCGATGAAAGCCCTAAAAGATTACCTTATTTACCTTGCCGAATATCTATGCGAGGATCTTGCTTTGCACTACCAAGATTGTCTATTGCCAAAATCAAATTCCATTTTTTAGCTTCATCTTCCGTTATAACCAAATTTACTTACCCTTTCTTTTACAATTGTAATTTTTAACAATTTGAACAAGTTTCTTTCCCAGACTCCCTTTAGTGCAACTAGAGAAAATTTTGAAACTTTGAGTAGTCCACCTTCCCAGTATAGTTTGAAATTAATGACCTAATATATCTAGAGAAGAAGTAGGAAAAAGCTCTAATGATGGTGATGATATATCTAAAGAAGAAAGTGAAATCAAACTCTTCTTCAATTTTGACCCATGCTTCACATTTTCAAGTGTCCGAACCATCCCATCACATATCCTCGCATAAAGTAAGCCTATTCCAATCATTTTGTCATTGAATTATTCCATTTGGTGTCAAACCGTCTTCAAACTGCTTATATGAATCAAACCATGATTTACATAGGCATATAATATGTGGCGCTCCACTATTAAGAACCAAACTTCAATAATACATGGGATTGCATCTTGCCATCAACACCTCATCTTTAATATAATTGGTATTGTATTTTCAACTTGGTGAGCCTCATTCTTGGCTTCACCCTATTATTTCATTCATGAACTAGATCCCTTTAAGGAATACCATTTTTCTTTCCAAAAATTTTCCTTACATAGCTGGGCTTGCCACAAAACCAATAATTTTTGTCATAACGCCCCTTGACTTCGATCAGAAATAAGCTTTGCTACTTAAGGAATCTTTGATGAACCATCCCATTCATTCAATAGAACTCTTACAACAGGGACATCAATCCTTGAAAACATTGATCTAACTACTAATGCATTCTTTCGGAGTTCATTGGCAGGTGGAGCATTAAAAAATAAATTCACTTTAAGGGATTCTTCCATATTACAATTTAATGTAGTAACAAAATTATCATGAGGCTCTAGTGACGAATAGAATAATGTCACTGCTTTATCTTCCTCATCCATCATTGCCCTTTTACTCTGGAGTACACAAACTATGTTGTTCAAGTTATTCAAGTGTTCTGATACTTCCACTCCTTCACACATCCTCAAATCATACAATTTTTTATTCAAGAAAATCTGATTTGTGAGGGACAATGTTTGGTATAAGCTTTCTAGCTTTAACCATATGTCAGTTGCTGTGACGACTCTAAAATTTGTGAAATTACAACATAATATTAATAGTGTTGATAGATATAAACAATAAATAAATAAATAAAATAAAATAAAATACTTACAACTAGCTGGCCTAGATTACAAGCTTTGATAATGCTGTGCTTTAACAAAATATTTCCAACCAATTGTTATTATTTTTGTTTAAATTGGTGCTAGTCTACTTTTATAGTGTAGACCTTATGGTCTACACTTCCTTTGCACTATGGTTTATTTTAAACCAAATGTTTACCACCTTACGTGGCAACCCAACAAACCACATTCATGTAGTCAAGACACTTTTTTATAAAAGGTGTTAACATTTTAAAAGCTCTCTCTCTCTCATACTATACTCTCTCTCTCCCTCAAAAAGGTATTTTATTTTAGAAAGTCTCTCTCTTATACCTCTCATAACACTCTTGCTTGCACTGCGGCACCTCACACACTCTCTCTCTAGACCTCTCACAATCCCTGTCTTGCCCTGCTTTTTCTCTTTCATAACATTAAGCTTCATGGCCGTCCCGGTTTGGAGTGAAAACCTTGTAAATAGTTGGGTCAAAGAGAATAATGAAGCTAGCCTTTGAATACACTACTCATGGGTTCCATTGGGTTTTAGCCATGAGAACAATTTTTCTTTTCATTTCCAGATTTCAAGAAGATTTGTTATTGGATAGTCAGAGTAGCTTTAAGAGTGAAGGTATAATGGCAAATCTATCATCTTGTCTTCTTCCTGGTTATGCATTGTGCCTAGTCCCTGTAATGTCAAGGGGCCGCAAACTGTTACCTATGGTTTCAGAAACGGAGCAAAGACTCTAAAAATGAAAAAGGTCTCCGCAATTCCTCTTCTGAAAGTGACACATAAGTAAGTGATCTCATTCTCCTAAAAAGTAGTTTGATATTAATACAATTGCATTATTTTCGTCCATCATCTTTATTTATAAGTTTTATGTGTGAGCGATCACAATTTCCTATAAAATAGTTATTTAAAACTGTTGTTTTCATATTTCTGTTTATCATTATGAATTTTGATATTGTAAGTATTATGTGCAAGTGGCCTTACTTTTCTTGAAAAAAAGTTGGTTAAAATTTTGAAATTTTGTGTTATAAGTTTTACATGTTTATGTAACATGATTTGTGATATGTCTGTTTATTGTTAAGGATATTAAACAGTTGAGAATTCTGTATTTACCTATGGATTTTTATGAGAGTTCTTTTATTAATAATAGATTATTTATCCTGTTACATTTCAAAAATGTCTCAACCTTTCTAGAATTATTTCCCAAAATTTTTGATTGGCTACTTACAGATATTTCAATGGAAGTGATTGTTATTAAATTGCTTCAAGTGAATTCATGTTAATATTTTCAATGATACTTCGCATATATAATATTGTTGCTTTCTGATGTTTAAAGAGTTTTAGAGATAATTTGAGTATAAGTGGACCTGCAAGGATCGTTAGGACCTATTCGGTTATGTCGGTAGCGACTATTTGGACTCATCCAGGATACAAGTGAGGTATGATCAAACCTGCAGGGATTGTTAGGACCTATCCGGTTACTCCGGTAGCGACTATTTGGACTCATTCGGGACGCTGGTGAGGTATGTTTGGACCTGTACGGATTATTTAGACCTATCTGATAGGTGCTATTTAGACTCATCCGGTATGCCGGTGAGGTTTGTTTGGACCTGTAGGGATTGTTTGGACCCATCAGGACGCTGCTGGGGTATATAGCTGACCTACTTGGGATGTCAGTACGATATTTTGTGAAATCCTTTGAATTATGCATCTTTGTTAAAATGTTTATACGCATTTCCATTATTTGGATTATGTTTAATTGTGGATTTGTGAAAGTGCAATTGTTATCTATAAATGTTTTTGTTCGAAATTCTTCCTCAGGTTGTTTTTTTATATATACATTCTTCAGAAAATGTTTATATCTTCCAATCATGATTATTTTTAGGACCATGATGATCACTTACTGAGTAGCCAACCTCACCAAACTATGGTAAATATTTTTCAGGGTAATTACAGTCTCATAGTTAAATACACGTCAAGACCAGCTTGTGAAGAAGATGCAGTCATGTCATAACTAAATTCTCCTTTGTAACTTTTGTTTAACTTCACCACTGTAAACTTTTGTTCTATCAACAGATGTATACTTAGCCTTCATGTTAATACCAGTTGTGCGCAAACTTTGTACAAATTTTAATTAATAAAAAAATTTGTTTTGTTACAATATATATTAATAGGAATTTGAATTTTTCTAGTATAAGAATAGTCTGTCACACCTCGGGAATGTTAGAAATCTTGGGGCGTGACAGCGCCGTCCTTTCTCCTAGTATTAAATAGTCTTTCAACTTCTAAATACAAGCAAACAGTGGCAAGTACCATCATGTCAAATTCTTCCCACTCATCATCCTTCATATTATTTAATTTTTGTTGCAGTGTTTTATATATAGATCATGCTATATCAATATATCGTGAACTTTTATTTTTTAAAGTTCAAAATCTTTCCATCCATAAAACTTATTTACTTCAAATTTGAAACTAGTAATTTTCCCAAATTATTGCACACTTCCCTTGAGATCCAATAGCACTTGAAGGGAACCGAAACTTGCTTGTTTGCCCCTTGTGGTGAACACATTATTACAACAAATTCAAAACCTTGGAACCAACTCACCTATTACCAGCAAATTGATTTCGAAAAATCCAAACACCAAGGACTATATTTGGTGCAATAAATTTGGAAAAAAAAAAAAAGAGAACATAAGAAATCCAAAACCACAACAATAATACTAAATTACTATTCAATACTAAATTACAATTCAAGCACCATCAACACACAAATACACATGGTTCACCCTAATCGGTTACATCAACAGAGCATCCAGCAAAGAAACGATTTTATTACTATAAAAGAATTATAAAATTAGGTATATGCACGGCTTACCTCACAGTAGACAGCACTGTCGATTCCCCCTTCCACTACCATAAAAGAACCATTAAACGAACCTCTATTGTTGACTCCATCAACATAGTTCTATCGATAATGGAAAACCCCGATGAAATCACCAAAAAATAGGGCACTATAATAGTTAGGATTTTGCCCAAAACCCCAAACCCGAAAATCTACAAGAGCTTTCCCTCATCAGATCCTCTCTCTCTCTCTCTCTCTCTCAAATGGCTTATAAAGCCCACAACATGAGTGGTTTTGTATCACTAACCCAGCAAAAGTGCAGTTCTAATATTGGAAAACTCTCATATTGGTCATCCACAATAATTGCGGATCTAAGAAAAAAAAATAGATTTCAAACCCACAAAACATGACATGTAACAAATTATTTGGATTGTTTATTTTAAAATATATATTAATCCATCAGATCTGCATCATTTTTGGAACTTCAAGCATCATAATTTATGACATAATCGCATTTTCAAGCTCTCACAATGGTTCTTAATGCCAAAACTGCATTTTCTAGTGGGGCTGAAGTTCAACTTTACATTGTAAAATTCGCAATCTTACTCCAACCGCACCAAATAGTAAAATCAAGACCCATTCATTTATACAAAATTTATAAAACCCAAGTGGGAAACATGCAAACAACTATTAGAATGTCATGTCAATCTTAGCCATCCAAACCAACAAATGATCAAAGAATAGGAATAAAAAGCCGACTTATTTCTACAGCAACAATCACATTGTATAATTAGAGATGAAAGCGCGAGCCATTGATGATCCAACAAGCAACTTTGAAGCCAGACAAGAGTGTAGATGCAGCCAAGAAGACGGCTCCTCCAAAACCAAGAGATATGGAGACAGCAGATTGTATACAAAAGGCGTTAACTTCATTGCACGAGTGTTCTTGGCCAACCCATGCACTTCCTGATCTAAGAGCTTGTGCCATGACAGTACCAGCAGAATTTGCACAGAAGAGTAGGTATGCAAATGCCTGTCTCAAGAAACCAATTTGGATTTCATCACACTAGAAAGAGAGAGATAGAGTCTCAACAAACCAATTTGGATTTCATCATACGTGATAGAGAGAGTCCCAAAAAAAAAAAAACATTGGCTCTATATGAAGGGTGTGGTTTCTATATAAGATTGCAACCTTAAACAATCCAATTAAGGAGTACCTCCAAATTTTATCATAATTTGTAATTTTGGTGTAAAAAATTCTTACGATTATATTAAAATTTATTTTCATATTTAATGATAAAATTTTAAACTTAAAAAATAGTTAAAATAAAGTAGATCTATACACATCTTGAAAATGGTCAGTCTAGATAATCTATTGCAATATTTATGGGACTCAATTTTTTTTTTTTGAGGTTGAGATGATCAATTAGAGGGTTTTTCAACATTAAAAACGACATTTTCCAATGGACTTTTGAGGTGCATATTTAATTCTACATTGTAAGGTTGAAACCTTATATAACTTGTTCCCTATATGAAAGAGATGCAAATACTTAAATTTTTCGGGCCAGGCCCAGGCACCGGGGCCATTGCCACCCTTAATCAAAAGAGATGCAAACACGAAAGCTAATAATTAAGCCAGTACAATGGTTCCATTAGTAACATTGTAAAGCTAGAGATGAGGATTTTGCCCCACAAAAGTGAAGGGGAGAGAGACTAAAAAGTAGAAAGAGAGACTAAAAAGCAGAAAAAGAGAGGGGGAAAGACATATGGAGGACAGGAAATGCGTGAAGGTGTTTAAAGTTTTGACAAGGAAAAAAAAAAAAGGGGGATGATGCCTTGATATTTGAAGTTTAATTGACGTGGTGGACCATGGGGAAATTGACCCTCACAAATTCAAAGAGGAAAGAATATCATATTAAAAAAAGAAATGTGAAGAAACCGAGGTAAGAGGCATGGTTAAAAGGGGCTATAAATGTGTGATGTCTTAACTTTTAACCAGAGTAAGGAGAAGAAGTTGTAAAGAGGGTCGACGGAATTGACCCTTTTCATTAATCTCCCAAATTTTGATATTTTTATCAACCAAAAAGTTATTTTCAATTTAAATATTTAAAAGAAAAATATAAATAAAGATAAGCAGTGGCCCCACAAAGGACTCGAAGAAATCCAAATAAGACTTCGCTAGTCTTCGACCAAGACCAACTATTCTATAAAATATAATGTCCAAAAATATATTAAGCATACAGCCATCTAATTTTGATCAAGAAAGCCATTCACTGTTTGATTTTAGGTCCGACATCTCAAAGTATTTTATTTTTAATTTTTTTTATATAAATTGTATGAATATGAAATTTGGTACATGTCATCTTCTCATTGAAGCACACCTATAAAAAATATTAAAAATAATTTTTTAATAAAATATAATAACCAAAATACCCCTTGAAACTTTCAGGGGTATTTTAATCATTTTATTTATTGGAAATATTTTTTAATATTTTTTGCTAGTGCGAATTTCATAAAGGTTTGGACATACAAAATTTGGTGTCTAAATAGTTGACAAAAAAAAAATTTAAAATAAAATAGTGTAGAAACGTGACATTGTGATTGGGGCAATCTTAGCCCTCCATTCAAAATGGACGGTTGGATAAGAGGAAGTATATAAGTTTTATGTTGTAGAATAAGCATAGAAAGCTTGCCCATTGCATATATCTTGACAAATGGATAGGGTCATAAGTGTGTCCGCCCACAATTCATACGTGGAAACATTCCACAATCAAGGTAAGAATGTTAGGGATGGATTTTAGCTGGGACTACTTTAAAATTTTGTAAATAAAAATGTATATTCAGTTGTTTTTCACTTAAAAAAAAAAAAAACCCTTTACATGTGGTGTCACGTTCATGTATAAGTGATTATTATTTCTATTGATTCGATCTAAATGGGGAAGGCTAGGATAGCTCAATCATAATTTCAGGTAAAATATTATTTTATTTTATTTTTTATAAAAAACATCTTAATATGAAATTTGGGAGTGGCCACTTAATGATCTCAACAAAAAATATTACAAATATCTTATAAAATAATAATAACTAAAATATTTTCAAAGGCATTTTGGTCAAATATTTTATAAAATTATATCTTCCCATTTTTATCAAATTGAAATTCAAAATGATTTGTAAAAAACAAAAAATTTAAAAATAAAACAATCCTATCAAGATTTGAAGCTCAGAAGCCAGTTTGTAACCTCATAACTAAAGCTATCCTAACCATCCATTCAGGTCGGACGACTTGAAATAATTGCTATATATAACCATCCATTCAGATCGACTTGAAATAATTGCTATATATAGTATATAGAGTGGCATCGCATGTAGACAGGTTGGTAAAGACACATAAAGAGTCATGTAGACAGGTTTCCCTTTAAAAGATATACTTGATGGAGTAAGGTTAAGACACATAAAGTGAAGACAGATAGATGTGGAATTTATCCCAATAAAATTTGCTCAGAAACATAAAACTTCGAATGGCCTCTCGCTAAAAGAAAATTAAATTGAGAACCTTATACAATACTAGAGAATCTCGTATTGTCTGATTGGATTAGTACAAAGTCGCAATTGGATGGCTTGAGAGTCCGTCACAAATTTCGAGAAATTTTTTTTTAACTTTGAGTCTAATAAATGATACACGTACAACCACTTAATTTCAAATCTAAAGATCAAAAAGATTGTGACCTAATTGTACTAAACCTAAATTGATCTCTTTTGCATGATGCTCCTATTGATATTCAGTAACCTAAATTGGTCTCTTTTGCATGATGCTCCTATTGATATTCAGTAACCTAAATTGGTCTCTTTTGCATGATGCTCCTATTGATATTCAGTAACCTAAATTGGTCTCTTTTGCATGATGCTCCTATTGATATTCAGTCTTAAAATTTGTTAAATTGGGAAGTCCATAAGTCAGGAAGGTAAATTTTAAGAGAAAAGAGATATCATTATGGAGAAGTAAAAGGAAGTAAAAGAGAAAAAAAAAAAGAGAAATTTTTAAAAGAGGAGACGTAGGAGGGATAGAGATTTAAGGGGAAGGGAGTACCTGATCATGACTGAAGTCGAACCAGACTTGAATGGTCTCCGGTAGTATGGTGGTTCCTTTAAGGATCTCCCAAATGGTGGCCCCCATTTGAACCAATGAATATAGGCAAATTATCGCATTTCCGGCCACCACATACCTTAAAAATAGTCCCCAAAAACATAAGAAGGTTCTTGGCATGTGAGTAAAACATGAGCACAATGTCTTTTTTCCATGTTTGCCAGTACTAATCTTTAAGTAAGCAAGAAAGAGGATTTTTTATATAAATTTAAATATAAAAATAGGAAAATTTATTGAAATACCCTAACTTTTAACAAAAATGTATATTATTTATTTTTTATGGTTACAATCATCTTAGATTTGAAATCGGGTGGTTGAAGATGTGCCATTGTTTAGGAACAACATCCAAAACAAAATTTCTTGAATGTTGTGATACATTTTTATCTGCTGGATTTCACATCTAACGGCTAAAAGTAGTTGTGACCGTTTTGTACAAAAAATAAATGTGCTCATAGCATACAATCTCTTTTATCTATATGCAACTATTTGAACTCAAGATCATGCAAGATTTTATGGATATTTGGAAATTAAATCAAAAGATATAGGTAAGATGTTAAATTGTTCTTCTCTCATAGGTAATTTGATAAATTTCCCTAAAAAACAAGGTTTAAGAAAGATGGACTAGTGACCCAAACCACCCATCCAAAAAACCGATCCAGACCGACAAATCAATGCTTTGGATTGGCAATCGGGCCGGGTGAACTAGCCAATACAAAATTATTCTGAACAAAAAAATTAAAAAATAAAAGATGGGAACAGTTCTGGCCGGTTCTCAATTCCCAATCCGGATCGGCCGCTTCCGATCCAAATCCCTGGCTTTTCTTAACATTGCTAAAAATATATAGTTTGAAAAAGGAATAAATGGTTGATGATGGGATATTTAATAGCAAGATAAGTATGATTATCTTCCATATGATCGTCAAAAGTTTATGGTCATAAGTTTAATCATTGAGTAATCCAGGATAAGACTTGATAATCCATGGATAGAACTTGAATAGATGGGAGAGAGAGTGGACCCCCTAAAAAAGATGACATGACCAAGGTGATCAATATGTGGCATCACCACCGTTCATTGATTTCTTGGATGGGCAAGTGCTTATAACTGGGGTTTTAAAAAATAGGAATCCAGCTCTAAATCACCATGGGACCGATTACGATCCGACACATGTAAGAATAAGATAGAAAACTGCAAAAACATTTAGAAATCTATGGAGCTAAGAATTCCTACTAGGTTCCTCAAAGCGCTCACACCCAACCCATATACCCCTTCCCAATTAATTCCACTATTTTTATAAGAGAAATTTATCAAAGGGTGAGGTTTGTATAACGTGTCAACCTTATACTATTGAAATAAGGTGCTCCTCAAAACTATCCTGAAAATGCAACTTCGGCGTTGCAAAGCCTTGTGACGGTATGAAAGCTTATTTCGACCTTATGAAATTTAAAGTTTTAGAAGTGGTGACGATCAAGCAGATCTATGAACACTTGAAAATCTTGAAAATTGATTGGTCGAGATAATGTGTTAAAAGATGAATTATTTTTAGAACTAAAAATACTTTCTTTTTCTTTTCCTTTTTATATCTATGAATCTCGATGTTGAGATGATCAATTTGAGAGGTTTACAGCATAGGAAAAATGTGTTCGGTAGAGTTTTGGGGTGCACTTTACCTGACACCTTATATAAACTTTTTTTCTTTATAAAAATACACACAACATTTGAACATTTTACCTTTGGTGCATTCTGATAAATTTCAAAATCCATTTTACTGCGCCCTTTTGATGGACTACTTCAGATTTGATCAAAAGAGTGATGGTAAATTTCAAATTAGAAAAAAAAAAGAATGGGTAAGATATTACATTAGTTTTATTCTTATTATAAAAAAAAAGATATTAAATAGTTCAACTTCCAATTGTTTTCAATAACCCTCCTTGTACCCACGTAGTCCGTATGGATCATAGTATACCGATGTACACCAAGGTATGGCGTGATTTGAGGGTGGACGGATCGCTGCAAAAAATAGAAGAAAATAAAGAAGCAAAATGACACAATTGTTGGGTCCATCACCAAAAACGTGTGGCATTAAATTTCGTCATTCAGGTAGACTTGGGGTCTTGATCATTTCGACACTGTACACACCCTTGGCACCACGAAAAAACGACATCTATTCACAACTGTGACCAAAACTTCGAAAGGCAAAGGATATTATACTCCCGTCCGCAGGAGTAGAATGTATATTTACTCTCTCGGGTAAAACCCCAGGACTCTAAATTTTGAGACACCTCAATAAAAAAACATTTCACAATTCTAATCTCTATGCACTTAAAAAATGTAATGTCACAAGAGGGAGAGTATTTTCCCAAAAAAATAAATTTAAAACGACTTCTTTGGGTTGGTAATTTGAAATGAACATTCTTCAAAAATTTTAATTTTAGGAAGAGAGACTGGCACCTGAAAAATTGAGTTCAAAAGTACATTTTTTTTTTTGAAAAGACAGAGACTGGCGCTTGAAGTAACTGAGGAATGAATTTGTGCTAATAATGGAGACTAGAAAAGCTAGGTTCATCCGCCCGATTTCAACATCTGTGATTGAAAACCGGATCTGCTCGATTGAACCACTATAGACATTAGGAGTGGAAACGGGTCGGCCCAAACACGGACCTGAAGTCACAAAACCTGAATCCGAACTCAAAAATATAATGTGGGACCTAGACCCGACGGGTCCAATTGTTTAGCCCAAACCCAAGTCTACCCTTCGGGTCAAACCCAAACCTAAGTCAAGTCTACCCTTCGGATCCCCGGTCGGGTCTAAGTCAAGTCCATTGACTCAGTCCATTGCCACCCCACTCCCGGGCCCGATCAAAGGCTCAAAGCCATTGCCTTTTGGTACGAAATGACAAAAGCAAAGCGTACTAGAGCAGATATTACAATTGTGCCCCCCCCCCCCAATAAAGGGCACAAGTATAACCCACCCGTCTCTCTCAAATAGTGAAATTTTTGAGGTTTTTCATTATAGAAAACAGTTGAAAAAGCAATTTTCAATCCAGACGCAACAAATATTACTTCTTAAAAATAATAAAAAAATAACGTTAAATAAAATAAAAAAGAGTGTGAATCAATGCTTTCATATTTACCTCACAGCCTTTTTCGGATTGGTCAGAAAGCTTAGGACACTTCCGACAAAGATTTTACAATTTTTTTTAAAATTAATGTAAATATATGTTTACATATAAAATATATTAAAAAAATTAAAAAAAATATTGTGCTTCGTTTCACTTCGGGAATCCAATAAGATCTTTGTGAATAATTTAAGTTCCAGTCTTGTAACGATAATCCAAAAAAAGAGGAAAAAGCAAGACAAATAAAGGAAAAGGAAAGGGGTTTAAGAAGTTACCTGAAAGCGTCATAATTCGTCCAGCTAACCCATTCTCCGGCAGCGTCTCCGTTGGGGATGTGACTGTTCATCGCCATGAAAACGGTTGAAGCGAGAGAGAAGCAAAACGTCACTAAACGGAATATCAGAATCAGCGAATTAAACCTCCTTAATTTTTGAACGGAAACCGTCGACTGAAAGTTAGTAGGGAAGCCTCTGTTTCTAGGGTTAGGGCTCATGGTCCCCTCCCCGTTTCTCATAAACTCCGGCGACCTCATCGGCCGCAATTTGGAGAGATTCGCAGGAAAATCATCGATTTCTGGAGTGTAGAGGGCACGAAAGTGGTAAACAGACAGTGAGAGAGAGAGAGAGAGAGAGATGGGGAGGGCTCTAAAGGGGCATGGGGTTTAGGGATCACGGGTGATTATTTGGGGGATTTACTACGAATTGCAGGAAAGGGGATGAGAAAGAAAGGACACTTTCACCAACATGGAAAGGAAGTACGCGAGGTCCTAGAGAGAGAATCAGGGCTTCTCTTCTCTCTCTCTCTTTCTCTCTACATCACGAGAAAGTGAATCAATGGGATTTCACATTCTCTCTCTATCCCCGTTTCTTCACCCACGAAAAGCAAACAAACCAGTGAGGTTTCAGAAAGGTCTCTCTCCACGAAAAGCAAAGATGACAGAGAACCTCCAACTCCGCCTCTCTCTCTCTCTCTCTCTCTCTCTCTCTCTACTACTACTACAACACACGTACGAGTAGTACGTACTACTACTACTACTACTACCTTCCTTCCTTCTTCCTTCTTCTCTCTCTCTCTACTTCTTACTT